GGAGCGGAGGGGAGCCCCCAGCTGGAATAGGAAGGGGGCTGCGGGTCGGGAGTGAGGGGCAGCGGCAGAGCTGAGGGGAGCCCCCAGCTGGAATAGGAAGGGGGCTGAGGGTCGGGAGTGAGGGGCAGCGGCAGAGCTGAGGGGAGCCCCCAGCTGGAATAGGAAGGGGGCTGAGGGTCGGGAGTGAGGGGCAGCAGCAGAGCTGAGGGGAGCCCCCAGATGGAATAGGAAGGGGGCTGAGGGTTGGGAGTGAGGGGCAGCGAGCAGAGCTGAGGGGAGCCCCCAGCTGGAATAGGAAGGGGGCTGCGGGTCGGGAGTGAGGGGCAGCGGCAGAGCTGAGGGGAGCCCCCAGCTGGAATAGGAAGGGGGCTGAGGGTCGGGAGTGAGGGGCAGTGGCAGAGCTGTGTCTGGAGGAGCCCCAGGGATGCCGAAGGATGCATTGGCAGGGCCGCAGGGAGGAAGCTTGTGTACTGCCACACGCGGCCCTATACCTACAGTTACACACTCGTCCCTCGGATCAGCACCTGCTCACATCTTTTCACAAGGCTGTTTTCTCTCCGTGTGGCAGCAGGTCTGACTGCACTGTAGGGCTGTTTACACAGGGGCTGGATTACACCCATTTATGGAATCATCTCAAAGTAGCACTTTGGATTTTAAGATACACAAGCAGCCTCCAATTAGCATGTGAAAGCCAGACACACATGGTGCATGGCAGGGAAGCAGGAGCAACAACACGGAGCTGATTATCCTTCCAGTCCCCAGGAAAAAAAACTCTCTCACATGCTGAGGTAATGGCTCCTCCAGCCCAGGGGGGGAAACAAACCTAGCGAACCACATTGCTCTCGGCGGATCCCGGTGCACGCGGCGTACACGGGGGGCCAGCCGAACGCGCTCAACAGTTCCCTTGGTGTGCCACCTAATTGCACTTTAATTGACGGAATGACAGACTAACGAGCTGAGGCTTGGGAGGTAAAAGGGTTGAGTACAGGATCGCTTTGTGAACACCAAAGGGAGCCCACTCAAAGGGTAGCTAGGTACAGACCTAGCACCACGCGCTCTCCACAGCACAGTGCAAAGTCTGGTCCAGCAAAGCCTGGGCCAAACAGGCCAAACCCAGCCCCAGGCTTTGCTCCGCTGCTAACTGGGCTCTCTGCTGGGGTTTGGCTTTGTCCGTTATGCACCCATTTGCCAGAGCAACAGGCGCTCGGTGTTGGGCTATGTGATCTCAGCTACAGCCAGCCAGATGGCAGAGATCAGGGGTGTATTATACACACATGCCGGCGGGGAGATCAGGTGGCTCAAGCGACAGGTAACTCAAAAGCCAGTCTCTTGTATGGAAGTTTGAAGGGGAAGCTATTCCCACCGGCTGTGAGCAGGGGAACCGCTAAGCACGAGCTGTCCGCAGCCCCTCCTTGCAAACCCCTTTGGCTCTGCTCTCTCCAGAGCTGGAACACAGGCGTGTGAACACAGTAAACAGCGTAGCTGGGCCCCCGAAAGATGAGAACTAGCCAGAGAGTTAAACTCCAGGCCTGAGCCTGCGGGAGGGGAAGGGGGACAGATGAAAGGGGCAGAACAGAGATTTTCTAGGTTTCAGAGTAGCAGCCGTGTTAGTCTGTATCCGCAAAAACAACAAGAGTACTTGTGGCACCTTAGAGACTAACACATTTATTAGAGCATAAGCTTTCGTGGGCTACAGCATATGCATCCGAAGAAGTGGGCTGTAGTCCACGAAAGCTTATGCTCTAATAAATTCGTTAGTCTCTAAGGTGTCACAAGTACTCCTGTTCTTTGTTTTAGAGATTTTCTAGAGCACACTGGGTTGCAGAAAGCTGGACAGGGATTCCCACTAGATCTGGCTGGAGATTAGCAGCAGGTGAAGAGAGCCACAATTTACCCCATTATACAAAGCCATGTAATAGTATCTATTAATCTAGCTCTTTCTCCTCAGCCTCCTGCAGTCATAGAACTGTAACTTTAACACCCAGATGTGCCCCTGCACACACGTGTGTGTACACACACACACACACACCCATTTAACCCATACAGAGTTCACTGTAAACACTGGCTCTGGGATCGCTGTCAAAATGTTCCAGCCCTTCCGACAGATTTTTTTTCCCCTGACTTCTATTTTTAAATAAACACACGCACACGCTCCCGGTTTAATTTCCGTGTGAGAAGGAAGCAGGTGCCCATGTTCCCGTGAGCTCTCCCTTCTCTAGGTTTTTTTTCCTTCTTGGATCCTGCCCCATTAGTTTAGTGCCCAGCCATCTGCGACGTCTCCTGTAATGCTGTCCCCCTTGTGTATCAGGGAGCTTTTCCATTAGTGCCTTTAATATTCTGACACCTCAGCACAGGCTTCTATTACATTCAAACACTGATCGCCCTGTGAAATTACATCGGCGGGCTTGCTAAGATGGAATTGTGTATAATCAGGCTGTGCCATGCACTGTCAGTCCCATCACAAATACAGCGTCAAGCAGGCTTACGGGTGGGCTCAGCAGCTGCTACAAGTGTATTTTTTTTAACTCGATGAAGTATCCCTTATTTAAAGCATTTCCTTAAGACAAAACAAAGACAAGGAAAGGCACACCAACAGCTGCTGCACTACGTTACCCAGCCCTCTGGTTTATCTGTTTATCTAGAACGATATCACACAGAGGAGGAGGAGATAAAGACAGTTAAACAGCCAGCCAGGGAGATGCGTGACACCAGGAAATAGCTAAATAAAGCACACTGTTATTTACTCTCCGGAGGGGGAGGAGGGAAAGCCCAGCATCTTCCTACAGGTGCCACCGCACTGTTAATACCTAGGCATTAACGTGACATGGACCTCTTTACGAGGCTCTGTTTTATAAGGCTACTGTACGCTGACTGCTAACGACACTAAAACAGCCAGCGATTCCCAGGCCTCACAGCCAGCTGGGCTGTTGCTTTGTACCAGCAATACTCAGTGATTGCCCTGGAATGTTTTACGGACAAAAAGACACCCGTGGCATGCCACGCGCGTGAATGCCAGGCCCAGGGATCATGCCGATAGCCGTGGGACGCTGTGCGCGTGAACGCCAGGCCCTGGGATCGTGCTGACAGCCATGGCACGCCACGTGCGTGAACACCAGGCCCTGGGATCGTGCCGACAGCCGTGGCACGCTGTGCATCTGAATGCCAGGCCCAGGGATCGTGCCGATAGCCGTGGCACGCTGTGCGCGTGAACGCCAGGCCCTGGGATCGTGCTGACAGCCATGGCACGCCACGCGCGTGAACGCCAGACCCAGGGATCATGCCAACAGCCGTGGCACGCTGTGCATCTGAATGCCAGGCCCAGGGATCGTGCCGATAGCCGTGGCACGCCGTGCGCGTGAACGCCAGGCTCTGGGATCGTGCCGACAGCCATGGCACGCCACACACGTGAACGCCAGGCCCTGGGATCGTGCCAACAGCCGTGGCACGCTGTGCATCTGAATGCCAACACCCGTGGCACGCCGTGCATCTGAATGCTAGGCCCTGGGATCGTGCCGACAGCCGTGGCATGCCTTGCGCGTGAACGCCAGGCCCAGGGAACACGCCAACAGCCGTGGCACGCCGTGCGTCTGAATGCCAGGCTCAGGAATTGCACCGACAGCTGTAGCAGGCCACGCACATGAACGCCAGGCCCAGGGCCTCTCCCCAGCTCTAGAGCTGCAGGGGGAGTGGGGCTTAAAGTAACTGCACTGATGCCCGGCTCATTATTAAAGCTTATGCAGGGTGAATTCGTAAATTCATTCATGTCCGCCCTCTATAACACTGATAGAGAGATATGCACAGCTGTTTGCCCCCCCAGGTATTAATCACTTACTCTGGGTTTATTAATAAACAAAAGTGATTTTATTAAGTATAAAAAGTAGGATTTAAGTGGTTTCAAGTAATAACAGACAGAACACTTGCATCTGAAGAAGTGAGGTTCTTACCCACGAAAGCTTATGCTCCCAATACTTCTGTTAGTCTCAAAGGTGCCACAGGACCCTCTGTTGCTTTTTACAGATTCAGACTAATACGGCTACCCCTCTGATACTCGACAGAACAAAGTAAGTCACCAAGAAAATAAAGCAAAAACACGCAAGTCTAAGCCTAATACATTAAGAGGCTGATTACAGATAATATCTCACCCTCAGAGATGTTCCAATAAGCTTCTTTCACAGACTAGACTCCTTCCTAGTCTGGGCCCAATCCTTTCCCCTTGTATATCTTTGTTAGTTCCAGGAGACATCTCAGGTGGTAAGCTGGGGTTTTCTCATGACTGGCAGCCCCCTTTGTCCGGCTCCACCCCCTTTTATAGCTTTGGCACAAGCTGGGAATCTTTTGTCTCTCTGGGTCCCCACCCCTCCTTCTAAATTGAAAAGTACCACATTTAAGATGGATTCCAGTATCATGTCACATGGTCACATGTCACTGTAAGACCCCTAGTCTCCATTCTTCCTGGGTTGGCCCACAGTACACAGGAAGGTTTGCAGGTAAATAAGCCATTTACAACCAATTGTCCTAGTCAGTGGGAGCCATCAAGATTCTAAACCACCATTAATGGCTCACACTTTGCATAATTACAATAGGACCTCAGAGTTATACATCATATTTCTAGCTTCAGATACAAGAATGCTGCATACATACAAATAGGAGGAATATATTCAGTAGGTTATAACCTTTGTTAGGATACCTTACAAGAGACATTTTGCATAAAGCATACTCCAGTTACATCATGTTCACACTCAAGCATATTTCCAGAAAACATATGGAGGGCAACGTCACTTTTGTTTTCTGGGAACAGGGTGAAGCCCTTGTGCATTTTGGGGGGCTGCTGGGTTGGGAAGGCTTGGGCATGGAGCAGAGGAAGAAGGAAGCATGGGGACGGACGATGTGGGAAGGGGGAGAGGATCATGGTGGCAGGGGCAGTGAGCTCTGGTTGCCAACGGCACACTTGGATCGGAGAGGGGCGGAAGGAGAACCCCGCACAAGCCACAGGGCGAGTGAGAGGAAGGGCAGCGTGGGCAGAGGGATCAGGCTGCTGCTACTACTACATTTCCTGGCCTAGGTGTCGGCCGTGTGCTTGGGGGCAGCAGCTGGGAGAGAGCATGAAAACAGGAGCGCTGAGCTCCCCAGGAAGGTCTGAGCCTTGGTCAGCACGTTCAGGACAGAAACAAAGCCCGGGGTACAGAGAGGGGCCCTGACCCAAGTGCCAACTTCACAGGGGCTTGAAAACAAACCACTGATTTGTCTCTGGCTGGCAGCCCCCTAAGAGGACCGAGACGAACACTGTCGACCAGAGAGGTCAGGATCATTATCTTAAAACTCCAGCATCTGGGGACCCAGGGCTGAAAGCACCCTCTGAATTCTTGCCCTCCATCACAAGCGTGGGCATGGTGGGGGAGAGTTTGTCCCACGGCTGTGTGCCCCCACGTGGAGGAGGGAGTCAGTAATTTGCCAGCAACAGAGTAAGCGTACAGCACACACACCAGCCTGCAGGGTGGGAGTCTGCTAATCCCAGGGAGACCACATCACACAAACTGGGAGAAGAAACTCTAACTAGGTAGCAAGTATCATAGCAACCTGAGTAAGGAACTAATTACTGGGCAGCATCCGGCAGCTGCCGAGAGAGTCGGCCGTACAATCATTTCCATGAGGTTGAAAGGCGAGGCTAAGACCTGACAAAAGGTGAGAGAGCGCACCGGAGCACAGCGCTGCTGGCTGAGCGCTGCTTGGCAGACCGGCACGGACGCTTACAGCTGCTCAAATTAAGACAAAGTCTGCTAAGTGCCTCTGCAAATCAGGACGTGCATGGTCCTTCCCCATCCGCTGTAACGCTGGACCAGACACACACAGACTTGGCCTCTGCTCCAATTTCAGAGCCCTTTCCAGAGCTCGGGGGCCCCTTCTCCAGCCGGCAGCCTGCTCCTCCGCGGCCGAGTCCGGGGATCATCCACCACTGAGCTGCACAGAGGCACGGCATTCTCCACTGCCAGGAGCAGAGTTCATGCAGATTGCCGAAGGTGTAGTAAGATGAGGCCCTGAGACATAAATCCTTGGTGTCAGAGACCCAGTACGAGGCCCGAGGCCTGAACTAAAGTAAGCCTCATTTTACTACAGCAGGTAGCCCCGGTATATGAACATCAGCATGTCACCGAAAAGGGCGAATTCCCCAGGGCTGCTGGGACTGCCAATGCTCAGAAGGAAAATTATGACGATATTTAAAGCGAACGTGGGATGTGGAAGAGAGACACGTGACCCGCCAGCGAAATGGACCCAAGCTCCCCAGTTCTCGGCACTGCCCCATGCTATACCCTGAACACAATTCTGCTGCCTTGGCTGGCTCATATTATCTTGCCCAGGTGGAAACTCCATGAATGATCCAACCACAGCTCATTTATACACACAGCCCTAGGACACAAAAGGAGTGTGTCCAAATCACCCACCTTACAGCATGTCGCGTTATTAGCGCTGGTTCTGTCCGACAGAGTTCCCAGGTGTCGACATCTTTTTTCATCCCGAATCGGGACAAAACGTCAAAAAACATCAGAAAATTTCACAGCACATGACGTGCCATTTGGAAGTGTCACCACTGCCTGGCCAAACAAAGACCGCAGCATTCCGAAGAGGAATATTTTGGTTCCTTGGGAAATACAGATCTGAAATGAAATTTCTTGTTGCAGATTTTTCAATGGAAAGATATTTCCCCGCCCCACACACACACACACATTTTCCAGAGGAAGTTTTCTATTTCAACAGAATCACATTTTCCAACAGGAAAACTTTTCAGGTGGAAAATTGTGGCCATCTCCAGTCGTTACGTAGAGGCACGTATACACAAAATGCGTCCGGCCCAGCTCAGCACCAAATAAGCCATAGCGATTGCCAGGGCCTCTAGGAGCTTCTGTCATCTAACAGCCACAAGCCAGTGGCACACCTTACTGCTCAGGAGGAACCCACAATAAGAAAGCCAGGCGTGCGCCCACATCCCTACGGGAAATGCGACAGATTTCAGTTTCCGGTTTCCACGGGGTTATAAAGCATATCACCATACCCAAGGCACGGTCAGCCAATCCTCCAGCTGTTGAATGGAGAACTTTCAAGCTGCTTCCCGACAAAGGAACGAGAGATGGGGTGGGCAGCAGGGCGACACCGTGACTTTGCTGGCAGCTGATCAGGACAAACAGGGTGACTGCTACCTGTGTCCTGCGTAACTTCCCACCCGGCGTGCTGTCTCTCAGCATCTGGTACCATGGGGATGTCGGACATAAAGCTCAGCGATTGCCTGTGAGGAGGCCGGAGAGGGCTGGGTTTCTGTGTATTTCATGGAGTTTAGAAAGAAACAACAGCGATTAACCTTTTGGCGCCGTCTCACTGTTTCTTGTTCTCCCTTTCCAGGCTCTGCCCCACACTTTCATCTGCTCATAGCTCACTGCGTCTCCCCCTGCGCTCCCATCACCGCTTCTTCTTCCTCCATGTTGTCCACTAAGTACGGAGCGGCCTCCTGCAATGGATCTGCTGCCATGTTGCTGCTAAGAAACCACCCAACGCATGGTGGCTAACGGAGTGGCAGATAAAAATTGTTGGCTTTACGTTGTATCTGTCTGCTCATATCCCCATCCCCCATAACCTTTCATATGTCCCTTGTCTTCCTAGACTGCAAACTCTTTGGGACAGACCATCACTTCATGGGTTTAGGCAGCATCTGGCACAATGGAGCTCTGATCTCATCCTGACCAGCGCCTCCGAGAGCTACTATAGGAGAATTAAACAACAACAGGTCTATCAACCCCAGAACCAGCCCCGCGCCCACTCACAGGAGAGGCAGCCTGGAGGAGCAAGTGAACAGAAGGAGGGAAAGGAGCTGGCTAGCAAATCAATGCCCAGGGCATGGGAGGAAAGATCAATACAGATTACTGAGCCAATGGTTGCGGATCCCATGGCTGCACCAGGGAAACACCAAGAACGGTTAACAAGCTGTTGATAAAACAGCGTGTGGGATTGACACCTGTCTAATCCAAGGTGGAGT